CAGCGGCACCAGCACCCAAGCTCCCACGCGCACACAACAGTCGCACAGAGCAGCCGCACCAGCAGCACAGCAGCGGCACCAGCTCCCACGTGCACACAGCAGCAGCACCAGCGCCCAAGCTCACACACGCGCGCAGCACACAGCAGCGGCACCAGCACCCAAGCTCCCACGCGCACACAACAGTCGCACACAGCAGCGGCACCAGCACCCAAGCTCCCACGCGCACACAGCAGCGGCACCCTACAGCACCCAGGCTCGAAAGCGCACACATGCGTCTCTTCCTATACTTGAAGTAAGAACCCCAATAGCTCACGCTATCTGGGGAAAAAACAGTCACTACAGGCTGCAGGTACAAGAAAATGGAAACGCTATAATCTGAGCTGAAGCTACGTTTGCATAGAGTTTGTAAAGCCTGTCCAAGAGGCCCCTTCTTAGCCAAGCCCTTTCATTCCCCTTCTCATCTTTCTCCGTTGTCTTCGGCCAAACGCCCCAGCCTCCCCAGAGGCAATGCCCTTCACCACCGCTTGGCCACTCAAGCAGTTCATCGGAAAGCTATGACATTGCTTACGCGACGTTCACATGAATCAGTAGCATAGTATAAAGCATAAAGGTTCCTGACGTCGTGTGCCTCTGCTATTGGGAAGAAACATACGGGCGCAAGTTTGTTTCAGTGGCATTCTGTACCTGCCCGGATGGAAGCATGTCTGTGGGAAACTGTCAAAAGCTACAGTGTATAAATGTGTATATGCATTAATACAATAAATATATAGTAATTTATTGATATACTATATATATATATACTTTGAAGGCAAAGTGTCTTATTTTGATCCAAGACAATTCATGACCCACTAGAATCAAAGGCATCCATTTCGCTCATCATGTCTCCCCACTGCAAAGTAGAATTGCAAACGCAACTCATAGGGCCAGTAGTCAGTGCACCACAAGTATCAAAGCACAAAACATTTTGTGAATCCTTCTTTTCCCCCATAGCATCTGACTTCACTCACAAGCTGCACCTGGCCATCGGTGCAGGGTCCATGACGTTGAATTCCACTAGACTCTCACTGAGACCAACTCGGGCATTCAGGACAACAGCTGGGAAACAACGCCAAAACTACCAGTAGAGTAGGGTTGATATGAACGGAGGATAATGCGATACGGCAACTCCTCTCAGGAATTAGGCGCCATGTCAGTTTTAACATCTTTTAACTAGGGACGATCTTATGATATCTTGTGTGTTTTAAACTCATCTCATCTGGCAATTCGGATTAGATCAAGTTGGTTCAGTTCAAGGCGATCGAAATGTTTTGTTCAAACAAACATTAAAGGTGAGTGATTCATAACAACGCATCAGCTCTCTGCCGCCTTCACATACACACCAAATACAGTACCAAATGAAGAGGTGGATGAAGAGGGTAAAGGCCATCCTGAAACAGTGGCAGTTGGCAGTGCACACAAACACACACAAAATATAATGTCCCGGCAAGAGACCCCAAACAGTGTGTCTAGAGGTCTAAGGTCTAGAGGTAGAAGGTCTAGAGATCTAGACGCATTGGGTTCCAGAGATAGGTGATGGTGGTGATGATGGTGGTGAAAGTGATGATGGTGGTAGTGGTAGTAGTGATGGTTGTGATGAAGGTAGTAGTGATGGTGGTGATGTTGACGGTGGTGATGTGATGATGTTGATGGTGGTGAGGATGGTGGTGGTGGTGATGGTGACGGTGGTTGTGATGATGGTGGTGGTGATGGAGGTTCACAACTAGTGCAGGCTTAGAATTGAAGGTCTAAGTCCAGAGTTCTAGAGGTCCAAAGGAGAGGGATGTCTGACATATGGTCCATAAAGTACTGCGCCTGCCAAGAAACCTATACTTCAAGGTCACAATGCGCCTGCCACGAAATCCGCACCTCAAGGTCCACAAAGTGCTGTGCCTGCCATGAAATTTACACCTCCAAGATCCACCAAGCGCTGCGCCTGCCACGAAATCTGCAAACCGAAATCTGCACATCAAGATTCACATCGCGCAGCCCGGCCAAGGCGATTCGCAGCAAGAGAACTTGAAAAGATGCCAAAACGCAGCTTTCGCTTGAGACACCCTTCGACTTCTAACAACGAGCCACGTGTCCAAAAGTCACGACTCACTGCACCTCATTGCCAAAGTATTGTGCCTGCCACGAACGGTGTACATCGACACAAAGCCGCTCAGATCTCCTGCACCTGTCACGAAAAGTCGACTTTGGACCAAAAACACAAGGTTTCCCTTGTACCTGCGTGATCACCAAGCCCGAAAATGTGCACGACACCGCAACGAGAGCGCAGACTCGAAGAGCACCCGCGCCAGCCCACCAGATTCTGCAAGCCTGCGCAATCGAAATGCACATGGAAGATCTCGAGGTGAATGAATGTATTGTGAATAGGAGCGAATTAGCCGCACACGGATGCGAGCACCTCGATCAGCACCCGTCCTTAACTCTTACCGCAAGAACCCCTAGTGTTACCACCTGTAAATTCAAATACAGTAACCAATAACAAAAACTCCTCTGCACAAAGTCGCTTCCAAAAGAGTAAAAGAAGGCTCCTGTTCTCGATAGAGCAGCCACTTTTCACCAGCTTGTAAAGGAAGGCGCCAATCTTCTTCACTCCCATTCACAAAAACCTACACATTCTTTCCATCCAGAAATGCTTTGGCACACCTGAGCTTGTTTGGCATAGTACTTTCGATTGTAGCGGCTAGTGCACTTGCCCTCTGATGGTTGGGGGCCATCAACCCACTCGCAATGCTTGCCCACACAATCCTTCCAACCAGTGTTTCTGCATGCGTACACTTCTTTTGGATAGTGTTGCGGATTGTTGCGACCATCACAATAGCCCGGTGCAGGCGCTCCCTTGGTCCATTCGCATTTCCCGACGCATGCCTCCCACTTCTTGATACGTCTACAAACCCTTGCCTCCTTGCCATGATGTTTCAAATTGTACCGGCCATCACAGTAGCCCTCTGATGATTGCGGAGCAGGCTCGGCAAGCCACTTGCAGTGCTCGCTCGCACAGTCCTTCCAACCAGCGGTTCTACAGGTGCTCACTTGCCGTGGATAGTGTTCTGGATCGTAGCGACCATCACAATGGCCTTGAGATGCGGGTGAAGTTCTGCCCTCAATCCATATGCAATAGCAAACCTTTTCTACCTTTTCTTCGTGCCATTCGCAATAGTCCGCACAATCTTGCGGCTGTTCCAAGCGTCTGCATCTTCTGGCTTGTTTGCCAAAATATTTCAAATTGTAGTATCCATCACAGTATCCAGCCTTGTCACCTGCGTTTGACTCATGCATCCTCAGCACGAAATGAATGCACTATTCAACCCAATTAAAAGAAGGTCTCAGGCATGCCACATTTCTATACATTTCTGTGATTTGATCAAACCTTTTCACCATTTCAACGGCATTGGCTGCGGCCAAGCATCACACGGTTCGCAGAGCTGATGGTGAAAAGGACACACAGAATTGCAGCACAATACATGCTACAAAAGGATACAAAAGGATAATCAGAGACACGTAGAACTCACAAACAAACTAGCTGAGATAGCGCAACTCTTGATCCGAAAGGTTCAGAGAACACTCTTTCGTCAGGCGGAAACAGGATAGAGTACCATACCCAACGGACGCAACGGTGAAAAATGGGTTGCTGCGTGGTGTCGAGCGATTTGTTTTGACTTTCTCCGGCGGGGCAAGAATGGCCTGCAAAGAAGTGTGGATGATAAAATGATATATGATTAATAATATATAGCTACTAGGAACAAAGGGCATCGCTACTAGGAGCAAGGACGCTACTAGGGGCTCCTGGCCTTACTACTAGGAACAAGAACGCTACTGGAAACAAAGGAGTTTATTTAGTAATATAATAGAGTTGCAAAACTGCCAAGTCTAAAAGGATGGTCTTATCGCCTATCGCACACTGATGAAAGCTTGACTCTGGTGGTGAGTGGGCTGCAGTTGGATATTGGAGGGTGAAACAGTCAACGCATCTGTCTTTGTCCACCCTTTCGCATCTTTTTTTCCTGGGAGCACCTCCGCAAGTCAAGAGTCAGTGGGACGAATGTCCATAGTTGGTGCTTGCGAACTTGCCTGAGTTTCTCTGTTGCATCCTCGACGGCTAACCAAAACGGTACAGGCACCTATGGCAACCTTGCGGATGCTTCTTCTCTTACCTTAATCCACCAATGAATGCACGTCCGTCCCACTTCCGAATACTGCACAATTGCTTGCTAAGGATCACAGCAGCAGCAGGAGGAGTACGTGTTGGAGCCTTTTGGCTGATTGGCTTACCCGGCTTACCCCTCCAGTGTGCTGTTTCCAAGCTGCACAAAGGGGCACTGGATCACCAGGCCCTGACTCCAAAATGCCACGAATTCCACATTTGCTGGCCACTTTGAGGCTGTCGTTAGACTTGAAGCTGAGCTAGGTAGGCCAGGAAACGTAGTCAGATTGCATTTCAAAAGAGTGGCATCTCCTTAACAGCAACAATCGAACAGACTCAGATACTTGCTACTATATATATAAGAGGAAAGAAATGTACTTGATGCCCCAAGGAAGATAAGAGCTCCAACTACTTGAGTAAGCCACCAAAATGTGAGCAGTAGGCTTCCAAGAGAGAGTTTGGATATCCTTTGTACTCAAATTTCTGCAGAGCCAGCAATGACGGAGCTGCAGTCTCACTCGTCCAAAAGAGATGTGCTTGAAAAGCATTTTGAGATGCCGAACTGCAACGCTCGAAATGCTCTCAGAGGCTTGCTTTCATCTTTTGACGAAACATGCAGCTCCATGAAACAATACCTAGCGGTTTCTGGCTGCTCACACCTGCATGTGGTACACCTGGGAGCAGGTGAGCTACGTGGCCAAAGCTCAGGGATAATTCCTGCAAACCATTTGCATTCTGGACCAGGTCGGATACCAATAATGTGCTGGTTTTTGAGGTCCTTGCAGACACCAGCTCGTCATCGGAGGCCTAACTATGGCAACTGTCGGACATGAAGGAAAGAATTGGTGGATATCTTGTGAACGTTGGTTCGAATCCTCCGGTGTTCTATCGTCACATATCAAACGAAATAGGCTGGAATAAAACTCTGTTGACGTGCCTGCTTTGATTGGTAAGAGGCATTTTAGAAAAGGGAATCAGTTGAAGGCCTCCAAACACTGTCATCTCTAAAAGCAAAGAAAAAGCACCTGTCTGATGCAAACAAGAGTTTGTAAAGTGGTCGTTCTCCGCAGTAGATGCAGAGGCTGGATGGTAGTTGGAGTTCTTGCCAATACACGTTCCATCTGTGATCATCTGTGCACAGTTTCGACGACTAGGGCTGCTACCCTGCGTCGGAGGTAAACACCGGCTGCAGCTCCCAAAGCCAAGCACGGCACTAGGAAAAGCACCTTGCAAAAAGCAACACACCCTCGCTACTTTAGGGGTATTTTACCTTGTCCTGTCTCAAGTGATGCCCCACATCAACTTGGCACGAACTCCATCAAACTCCCAAGGCTTTCCATTGCTCTCAGGGTTCCTGGCTGGAGAGGTTCCCTTCTCCTGATGCGGGCATCGGTTTCATCTCAGTGTGGCTAATTTACAATGCAACAAGCCACAAGATTTCTCGAGTCCCTTCACACCCTTCACTCTGCGACCAAGTGCGCCTGGGCAAGGAGCACCTCTGGGTCATCTTCCTCAGGCGGTAGTGCACTTGCTAAAAACACTGCCGTGCTCACCTTCAGCGTTGCACTTATATAACTACACTTAAGTGCAATTATATTACATGCGCCTTTTACTACAGTTCGAGCATCTGTTTAAAACGGGATTGCAACTGACTGAGGAAGTGCCTGGCACTAGGGTTGTCAGGCAAGCCCACTGCGTTGTCTGATTAACAGGAGAACGAAAAAACCCTGGGGACCTGATGCCACAGCCTAAGGTCCAAGCCTTCTTGTCGTGTTTCTCATGTTTTTGCTTTTCCTTGATGTCCTCGTGCATCAGACAAACTTACTGTACTTGCAACCAATCACATGCTTGACAACCAGCTTCGTGCGCTGGATAGGACAATGCTCCTCGACCTTTTGCTTCACCTGAAAACAATTGTCTGATCAAAACTGTAGCTCTGAAAGCGCATGCTGGAGCAGTTTTTCTCATGCACAAAAGCAACAGTGGCATTCCACTACAATGTAGCCGGGTGACCTTATTTGAGGGCAATATGCATCTCATGCTCACCATGATAACATCAATGAATCAAGGCTCCTATATCCCAATCCCAAAGAATGCAAATTCATGAGTGCGCTGAAGAGGTAATACATGTCAAACTACAAGACCACCCATCATTCCAGCCTTGTCAGCAGTCTTGTCTGCCGAACCTTCTACCTCAACACACTGGAATTCAAAATTGCAGCCCAAGAAGAAAAGTAAAGAAACATCCATGGGATGGGGGGGTTGGGGACTGGTCTGCAACAAACATGTTGGAAGAAGGAGCAGTAAATCTACAATAGCCAACGTTGCTTTGAGATGCTTTGAGTGCAAAATTACAAGGCTCTTTTTGCAGCTCAGTCTCAGCATCGGCTGCCTTGTCAAATGCCCCCTTCACGGCCTGTGAAACCTGGTCGGCAGCAATGCAGTCTGTGCAAACATCACGCGGGTTGACATTGCAATATCATGCAAGTTCCGTGTGCGTAGGAATAGATGCAACAAAGCGATTGTGCGTAAGCGCGTCATCTGGCGCGCCTCATCCACCCATGAATTGGCTGTGCCCTCCACATCCTTGGTCTTGTCTGCTACCTGCATCCAGCACCACTACGTGTTCGCTGTGTGTCAATTGTTGAATTTGCATGGGAAGGTTACAGTGTTGAATCATATCTGGAGTCTACTCCAGTTGACAGAATGTTCCGTCAAGATGTCCGCATCGTTGCTTTTGTCAACCTTGCTTGGGAGCATCTGCGCCTCCTTCTTGAACTGATCAATCATGCTTTCAGGGTCCTACCACTCGAGTACTCATGATTCTCTGTCTGTGCAGAAGAGCATGCAGATTGCCTAACGTAAGAAGTCTGAAACTGTGCAAAAAACGGCGGCTGAGCGGCTATCCTCTTGATCTAGCACAGGCGAGACATATCGAAACATATCAAGACGTCTTCGAGCCTTGCCCTCATTCTCTGCAAGCAACAATGGGCCCGTCACCGGCTTTGATCCGGAGCCGCCCTGCGTCACAACGCTTCGGCTTCCGCTTCTGTCGGTTTTCTCAGCGGCTGGACCGCCGCAATCTGGTGGGGCAACCAAAGAAATTGACATACCTCTGCAGCAATGATGCTACTGAACTTATTTACAGTACAGTAATGCTTATGATCAACATATCTGAGCGCTTCTCAATGATGAGTGAAGTTCCATGTGCAATGAGTAAAACACTCAGCAATCTCAGCATGTCATCCGGCCCTTAGTTTTATCTGCGCGAATTCAACATTGCAATGGCTTGCTCGACCACTCAGAACATCTGGGCATGGTGCAAACGCATCTTCGTACAAACTGCAATTTTGTTGTCACTACTAAAATAGTGAAGATTACAGGCACCGGAAATTTGTTTAAGCAATATGAGGGTTCATGAAGGATCACTGCTTGACCCAAATTAGCAGAATGCCTTTCATGCCAAAGCCTCTTAAATCAAGGTCTTCGGCGCGTCAACACCTCTTTGGGCTCTGTTGGGCAGTTGTCAGGGTGCACGGCTTTTGACACAAGCTGGATTAAACGGACAGTCGTGATCAGCACTTTGCCGCACCCCACAATTCAAGCCCCTAACTACTCCCAGGCAGCGTATTGGAGACTGAGGCCTTTCCATCAGTTTGCTGCCCGTGTCAGCAGCAGAGCATTGGACGAGGGTCCTTCGTGGCTCTCGAAATAGGTTGAGGAGGTGCACTGCTGATGGAAGCAAACAAAGAAGGGTTCCTTTCAGGAGGGTCCCGCTCGGGTCCACGGAGTCTATTGATCATTCTGGGATTCATCAATTCCACCATGAGCAGTGGTGCCTCAGCTAGGAAGAGAAAGCAACTCATTGGAAGCGCAGGGATCTAGATTCAAAAAAAGGCCAACAAACAGAAAAGAGTCTCACCGATGAATATCACTGAGCTTTGGGGTTCACATGTACAAATATTGCTATATATATGTCATATATAATATATTATTGTTTTTTAAAAATAGTAGCCAGTGCCAGACCAACTCAAGACATGTTGGCTTTAGAAATTGCAAGAAAAACTGCCAGGGTTGGCAGTTGGAATACCAAGAGCATCAACTGCACTCAGTGCAATCTGCCCTTGTCTGGTATTGGTATGCAATGGTCGCCATCATTCTGGAAAATGGGCCCTTAAAAAAAGGACATTTGATCAAGCCTTGATTCTATATACAATTCTACCACAAGCGCTGAGAAAAAACAAGAACAAATGATGGTCATAAGAAAACTGTTTTGCACTTAGCTTGATCAAGCAGAATTATTGCTGTGTTGCACTGCCCAGGCAATGATACAGCAAGGAACAACGGGTATTGGATGTCTATACTGAGCTAGAGCACAAAGCGAGCATTTTCCTACAAAACCTCTTGTGGAGTGTTCAGAACAAGGATTCTTTGCACAGTGACATTGGATGCCTTGGCCTCTTTGACGTGCCTTCTGAATGTAAACCTATGCTACAAGCAGCAAGTATCAAGTGTCTATCATCTCAATCAATTCATCTACTGTAGTGCGGCTTTTCTCATTCTCCAAAAGAGCCAAGCCAAGCTGTGTGCTCGCAAGACTTTTGTGTTCATGCGCGTTCACTGACCTTGTGCAGAACCTTCGGATGCGGCCTGAGTGCGGCACAAAGCCTCAATCGGACTCAATCGTAGTTCGTTCTATTTTTTAACTATGCTAAGCTTATGCTAGTATCAATTGCCTCCAACCTACTAGCAATGGCCTCCAACCAGAAGCGATGGCCTCCAACCTAGACGTGCTGTCTGGCCCAACAGCCCAACCCAAACCAGGACATGGCATAGACTGAGTCGATGACCTCTTGCCCTCGCTACGCAAAAACGGATGTGACTGGAAACGGGTGAGCTATCCAGTGACCAGTGCTTATCACATGTGTTCTTAAAACCATCAAGACACAGAATCGGTGATGACAAGGAGATTCAAACCATGTGAGGCCAGCGGTTTGAGTCTCGTGCTGTTTGTTGTGCCAACCCGTTCAGGTAAGAGGCTTCAGAGCAGCCATCTGCACCAAAGCTCGCGGCTTGGCATCCTGTCCATTGCCAGCTGGAATGGGAACTGATGTCACAGGTATGCATGTCCCTGCTTCTTCTTTGGCAGTTACAGTTCATCTTCACTTCGTGTCTCTGAGATTACTGACCTCACCATGTTCCAATGAGTGAAAGACCTCCCCGCCACAGCCTTGCGAAACTCCAGGATACCTGAGAAGGCTTCTGCGTGGAACTGGGAGCAAACAGGTTAAACAGGCACTCTTGATGGTCAAGATTTGGTGTTCCTGATCTCTATGTTTGCAACAAATTGTGCGTACATGCATGAAAATAATCCAGGGCTGTGAAAACAACTGGCCACAAGGATATCAACACTTCACACACAAACAAACAAACAAACAATTAATTCTAAAAATGATATAAAAAGAAAAACACACACAAAAAAAAAAACAAACTCTCGGTCAATACAATCTGAACTATTGGCCCAGGCACTTGAGGGCTCAATCTCCACTTCAGATTCAACCCAAAGCCTTGGCTGGGATGCAGGTGCACTGACAGAGTTGTATCAATTATGTCGCCAAGATGCTCGTTGCAAACAACGGCGGCGATCAGCAAAGCTCCTCGCGGGCGTCGAAGGAAGCCGTGCACAGGAAGGAAGGAAGGAAGGAAGGTTGCTAAGATATGATGAGAGCAACCCGATCAAAAGGACCATACTTGTTATACCTCTTCATGTCCCTTGCATTCCAGTGCATTTGGTGTTTGTCCATGGGCATTGAGTCCTCCGAGCATCTCGTTCGGTTGCATGACCTGAGTCTTGGCCGGCGGTAGATTAGACATGATTAGACAGATTTGGAAAGACCTAGTATATTAATGTATTCCAGCAGCATAGAACCCCAACAGTAAACTGTTTGCACATTATATATACTTAATATACTTGTAATTACATGTTTCATCATGTTTCAGTATGCAATAATAAGAAGCAGGTATATACTTCCAAACCAACCTGTCCGATCAGAAACTGGCTAGGCCCAGGCAAATCCACGCAAGGTGTTATGGTTTTGTGCTCAAGAGTGTTGAAGGGGAAGCATGTCGTCGCAAAGGGTTGTGATGTTGTATTCAAAATTAAAAGAGCCAATTGCATGCATAATTCCGCAGGTGATTCATCCAAAGCATCTGCGTTCTGATGCCAACAGCATTGCTCGATCTTGTCATGTGTGGATGGCAAGCACATCTATAGGTTTCTTGAACCAGTGAGCTGTCTGGAATCTGAAGCTTTGGAAGGCTGACACTTGCACAATGCCAAACAAGTGTTGTTACATGTAATATGTATATATACAACGCGTAAGCATTTTAGCAAAAAAACAAAAGAGTCGAGCAACAGTGTTGGTACCTGTGGTTTATTGAGCCTCCGAGGTTCACCCCCGTTTTCACTCACTTGAGTTGAGGCAGTTTCTGGCCTCTCAGACATTGAGTTTCTTTCTTCAACTTGTAAATGCCAGAGGCAGCTAGAAAGCAATCCAAAGAATCAAGTGAATATCCAAAGAATCAATGCAGCGAATCAACAGCAGTGTCACATGCATATATACATGTATCATAAATTCTTATGATGTATCTATACTCTATCTGTGTAGTGTCATTTTTCAATCAAGAGCTTTGGCTGAGTCTGTCATCCATCTGAGTCTCCCAGCATCTCCCAGAAACAACATGGCCGCCACCGCCGCCCAGAGGGGCTCCGAGGCCGCCAGCAGCGCGACGTCGGAGCCCTTCACACGGCGCAGCGCCTCGTTGGCCAGCCACATTGTGAGGACCTCAGGACCATCTTCAGGACGCTTCAGATTATGTAAAGGCAAAAAGGCAAAGTGCATTGCAGCTTTTCTTGTTTTCTTGTTTCTTCCATTGCGGGGTAAACCGTAAGGGAAGGAGGGAAGGGCCGGGGGGATTGCTTCAGCCCCTTTTCAGGCGTACGAAGGACACCAGTGGAACATGGCGAAGGATCGCTCGAGACTGGCCAAAGGGATCGCTGGTCTTACTCCTAGTAGCGTTCTTGCTCCTAGTAGCGATGCCAGGAGCCCCTAGTAGCCTAGTAGCGTTCTTGCTCCTAGTAGCGATGCCAGGAGCCCCTAGTAGCGTCCTTGCTCCTAGTAGTACGGCCAGGAGCCCCTAGTAGCATCCTTGCTTCTAGCAGGGACCAAAGGGAGTCTAGAGTCTAGAGACCTTTTGAATCCTTTCGGTCTTGGTTTGCAAAAGACTTTACAGCTGAGGAGGCTGAAGTTGCATTTCTTACACTGACGTTACATATTGCTGTTTTGGACCTAGGGGGTAAACCTGACCAGGCATGACATAGTCTTTAGGGCTTTCTGGTGATTCGTCTAGTGGATATTTAACGCACACTCACATATATCTTGGGGAAGTTTGGAGTGCAGTATAACTTGAATCAACAAACATTCAAACATTCACCTCAACGTACTTTGCCTGATCGAAGTCTTGAGACTCAGCCTCTTAGGCCCAGACGTTGCCAATCAGCGCGGAGAAAAGCAACGATGGCATAAGCCCTGGTGCCTGCAACACCTGTGGCAAGTCGCTGAGAAGTTGCTCCAGGCCATCCACGCCACCCTTCAGAAAGCTGGAAGCCAAGGTCCAGCCTCGTGGCCAAAGTCAGAAAGATTGGGAACGGAACCTGAACTCCCCTCTTTTTTTTCAAGGCCTTGAAAAAGGCCTTTGACCTTGGCATGCCTTCTTCTTTGCCTTGTACCAAAAACCTGCTCTACCAGAGGAGTTTGTTGCTTCGCTCAAGCATCGCCTGTGCAGCCCAGAGCCGTCATGGCCAGCTGCAAAGCAGTGGATGGCAGGGTGTCTTGAGGGAACTTCTTCCTCAGTAAATCACCATGCCATGCATTCGCTGCATGGGGGTATGGTTTGACGGAAACCTATAGTCGACCAGTGGTGAGGTGTCCTATGTTCAACAGTACCCTTCTCCTGAGACATCTCTTTTGAAGCCTCTTCTATAGCCTGAGTGCAGACACCCATTTCTGCTCAAGCTGAGTCGCATGGTCTGTCCCAAGATAAACCAACCAGCTCCAAAGCACAAGGGGACCAAGCTGCAAATCAGGTCGCCTCTGCTTGCTCAATTGGCAACTTCACTAAAAGGCAAGTTGCACTCGACACTCTGTTCACGAGACATCAAACATCTTCAAGGAAGGAAGAAGTCGAAAAGGAAAAAAGCAAGGTCTAAAGGTCTCAAGATCAACAATCGACTATAGTTTAATTCTAATGTAATTTAATTCTAATTTAAAGCAATTTAATTCTAATTACTTTTAATTCTTGTTACTACTAGTAAGGCACTTGTTACTAGAAGCGATGCACTTGTTCCGAGTAGCTTCTTTTCTTAAAGGAAAAAGCAAGGTCTAAAGGTCTCAAGATCAATCAACTATAGTCGTGCACAAAAAGGCGCTTCGACATGGGCCAAGGTGCCAGAAACCAGCTCTACGGTTCCACAACCAGCAAACTCCAAAATTCCCACTCCTCGGAGAATGTGTTGATGGATAGGTTTCCAGCTGCCTATGATCGCATTTTCTCTGAGCCAAATAGTTTCGGCCCGGTGAGAGACGCAGCAGGAAAACACAGCGACGCAAGTTCTCGCCATCTCCTGCCACAGCCAGCGCAGCTGCTGCGAGGGTGCCAATCTTAAATTGCCGCGCCACAAAGCAGGTGATGCCTCGAAAACACATCCAACGGGAGCGGTCTGCGTTCGAAGTCTGCTGACGGCAACGAGCTATCCAGTGTGGGCTTACTTAGAGCTGGACAACTAATTGCAGTCATATTAATATCATATTATGCTAATTGGACAAATAGTGTCCTATTAGGTGGTTGGAGGCCATCGCTAGTAGGTTGGAGGGTAGGTTGGAGGCCATCGCTATTATTATGCTAATGGACAAATAGTGTCCTTTCGGCTCAAACAGTGGGAAGGAAGCTTTGAGACATTCCAGTGAGCTTCGCTGAGCTCATCTGCGGCCTTCACCTTCGGATACGAGTTGATCTGTGGCCGAGATGTTGAGATGGAAACCTACCCACCTGTGTGCAGTGGCATTGAGTCTGCGCCTGCACACACAACGGCTTGAAGTGAGCCGAAGAAGGAGGTCTTTGCGGCGCTCGTGCCGAGACCCATGGCCAGGAACATCGCCATGTAGGCTGGCAGGAAGTCCGGTGAGTTGTAAGGGCAAAACAAATCCCACAACAATATTGTTTCACCAGAAGTATGAGCATCTCTAATTTGGAAGTCTCGAAACGCAAATAAAGTTTCAGCGCCCTCAAGCTTCAGAGAAGTATATACGCAAACTCAGTTGTCGTGGAGTTCAATGTTCTCTCTGCCACAGGGAGCCTGCACCATAGCAAGTCCCAACTTGCATGGAACCAAACCTGGGCGGCAACAGTGACTCTCACCAAGCCAGCCTGCCAACAAATTACTATATAACTCATTGGCCCTTGACTTTACAGAAAGATTTGACAACCTTTAAAATTAGAACTGGCTTGACTGGCTTGACAAACACATACATCCGATCCAGGCGTTTTCATGGGCCCATGATGTCATAAGCAAGATTCAGGCTTGCAAACATGTTTGTGTTTGAGCCACAAACACTACTCTGTGCCAAGACCCCCACATACTCTCTAGGGAGCTCGAAGCAAACAACCAGGGCGATAGGCACAGCGTGGCCACCAGGAAGCGCAAGGCTCCAAAAAGGCAGCCAGGCTCCTCACGCATTAGGTCATTAGGTGCACAGCTGTTGGCATGAGTGACTTTGTGGTCAACCCCACATCCGTGTTCACAACGATTGCTCAGGAGCTCATCTCAGACTACTAGTACTTGACACTCCGTGCAAACAGCAGTCCTCAACTCCAGCAGATGCTAAAGCATCAATGCCGGCTTTGGAAGAAACAATGCTCCCTTATTGAAACAAAGGTGTCAGTGGAGGTCCAAGGTGCATTTCATGTGTGGTTCTGTGCATTGTCTTCCTTCAAGGATATGCCAAGCTGCCACCCCACATCATCGCATTGAACATGCCTCGCATTTCCGGTCGCTTTCGCCACATCTCCGCTCGCTTTCATTGACTGTCGGCGTTGCATGCTCTTTGTACGATTCGAAGGAAGGGCACCTGTTCCCAGGTCTAAGGCCCCAACTCACCGACTTCCTGGGCGGTTTCCGGTGTTTCTTGAGTCTCCCTTTCACAATATCGGACGCATGAGCCACAGACTTGCCCAACAAACTCTGCTTCAAAAGACACAATGTCTGGAAGGGTCCGTGCTCATCAAGATGTCAACTTGATTGGTCACAGTATGGTTCCAATCTGGATCCAGGTTTAGCATGTTTTAGTACCATCATCTGCTTGGTCTTCAACCAAAACGCCCTGGCCAACAAGGATATTACCTGCTGCAAGCTTCCACAGGCCCTCGCTCTCCAAGAAATTCGCTTCAAGTGCTTCAGGTTGAGCAGGAAGGACTTCAGCAGAGCCATCTGCCAGTGCTTGCTGCGAGGGGCTCCTGGTTCTTCCAGCAAGAATTGACTCCAAAGGCCCCTTGAAGTATTCAGACGCGCAGCTGCTGCAACTTGTGTCCTGGAACTAGCAACTTGCCAGCCCGGCACAAAGCACGGAGCCAGCCTGGCGGCTGGAGAGCTTCAGAAGTTTCTGCGAAACGGTATTCTTTGGAAGGTGTTTTTGAGTGATTTGGGTTTAGATTACTAGAGCTTGGATTCACAAGAATAAGAAGGTCGACTATTCCAGGAGTTCAAAGAGCAGGGAGAAGAATGCGTCACAGGGCATTTGACATCAGTGGGATTGATCAAATCTTGCTTTGTTAAAGCAGCCTCCAGTAGTGACTGACTTTTCCCAGCTTAGACAAAAGGGTAAAGAAATTGGTAAACCAACTACTGGGAATTACGGAGACAAGAAGGCTGGCAGCTTGTCCGTAAGAACGAAATTGCGTGTTCGATCGTTTACAACATGCAGACTGAGAGGGCTTGGACTGGATTGCCTAAAGTGGTTTCTCAGGTCTTGGCATGCCAAGACGGGCTCTACTCTAGTCTGGTCAACATAAAGTTGGATTGGCAACAATTCAGAAGACGTGCACCAGGTTTGCAAGTCTTTGCTTTTGTCATGTTGTCATATTGAAGTTGAAAATATATGGGTGGCATTGAGACCGAATGGTGAAATGCAATCATAGTGGTCCAGTGAGATGATTGATCATCAGAGCAAGAGCTACAAGAAAATACTGCCGTCTCTTGGCATAGAATCTTTGTGAGGACTGAAGTAGTTTCCAAGCCCACCTCCACAAGAAGATTCCCAGGACGGTCAAGGTGAGCAAGGTCTGCCAGCGTTCAAGACTGCTTGTTGGAAGCATGACATGTATCAAAATGTCTATGTATCTAAAGACACTGATAGCATTGGAACTTGTGTGTTCTGCTATGGGAATCGTTCAACTCATGTAGGCTGGTAGTTGCCACCAAAAAGCATTACAAAATGATCCAATGTGCCAAAGGATCCCAAAGGGAAGAAGAGTCAAGAGCATGCGAAGCATGCGAAACATGAGAACAAGATGGAAAAAAAACATAGAAAAACAATTGGAAATATGTTGGGTGTCGTATGATGTCGTTTGCTTCCCTGCCTTTCGCTTCTGAGCTCTAATGGCCATGGCTCACAGTCGGGGTAATAGCAAAAAACTGAGCAATAGAGAACATCGCGCAAGGAGAGAACAACGAGCAATCTCAATCGAGTAATCACAACCCCAGTGTGCTTCTGCTAGCATCCCGTGCTCAAACTCTGGTTCACGCTAAGTGTACAGTAAGTGTATCATCCAAATCCGGCCATTGAAAAAACCCGCTAGAATCATAGGTCCTGGTCGCCCTAAGCTCAGCCATGTTCTATTGGGCACTTGGCACTATGCACACCCGTGTGTAAAAATATGTAAACATTGTATTGAAATATACTGTACATATATTGTATAATTAACTATATGTACAAACATGCCTTCAACACACTCGGGTCTTGCAAAGATTATCCGCCCTGTGGAGAGGCCTTCTTGGCATCTTCTATCCTCTCCTTGTTGCTGTTGTACTCACCTTGGTCAAATTGAATGGCAACAGACTCTCCATGCCTTTGATGTGTCCGAAAGCATTCCAGTTGAAAGTGTCACGAAGATCAGGTCGATGCTTTCGACGGACTTCATGGCATAGCTCTGGTAGTCCTCGCAAGAGTCACACGAAAACCGACGGTGCTTTGGAATCAATCATTAAATAGAAAACCTACCAGCGACCAAGCGGTACATATTCAAGTCAAACCCGAGAAGCTGTCTGTCCCATTCGCAAGAGTAGGGAAAAGGACAGCACTCTCAGAAACTGTTCTCATGCAACTTGTTGATACACAAGGCACTCACTGAATCACACCACTGTGCTCAACAGTGCCGACATTAAGAGTGAGTAGCAATGCGCAAAGCAACAAATTCAACAGGACCGGCACGTACTGAAAAGAACCGCAAAGCACAGATCAGCTCGACTGATCGTGTTGGGTTTGCAAGGAGGCCTTGCATCCTCTCCAGTTTCCGCGCAGGAGTGGCTTCCATACTCAATACTGCATCTTGTATATGTGTATGTGTGGGGTTGGACCATGGACCACTGCTGCTGTGCAAATTAAAATATATTATACAGGAGCAGAACCCGGCTGCTCAGCAGCTGCTATCCCAGCAAAAATCAGGGAGTTACAGTCTCACCGTGAAATGTTGGTATCAGGTCAAAGTTTTATAGGGAACAAAATGACCCTTGAACAACACCAAGCCTTCCTCGATGTACCTCTCGCCAAACCCTGGGTCATTGTCTCATGTTTGTTGGCGCGCTCCTTGGGAACGTACTTCTTCAAGCTGTCAGACCTGTTCGTCCCCCAGGTCGGAGCTGTTCCGGTTTGAGGTGGGTTCTTCTCCTTTTTGGGGGAACCAAGACGTGCATGATGGGATCCTCAACATCATGGGGTTTAGCTGGACTTCCTGGTTTAGCTGGACTTCCTCTATTAAAACAACAAGCAGTTGCAGTGTTAAAATAGGTTAAACTGTATAAAGTATAAACAAAAGGTCTGGAAAACAGATTTCCTGTCAGCATTCCAGCTCCAAGGGTCCGCATATTCAAGCCTCGCTTTGAGCCAGGCATCCAGTTGATCCATTGTTGTGCAATCCTGCCAGAGTTCCAACAAAAAGCACCTGACAACCTCTCTCAGTTACGCAGATTCCATCCCAGCTGGACATGCAAATCACTGGCCGGCCACTGCACAATCACCCAGTTTAACTCGTTGCAGGCCCTGAAACCCTGACAGGCCAACCTTGGCATCCATGGGCGTGGGTGCCTCAGTCCTCAGTTCAGCAGAGTAGATGCGTGGGGATTGTTGCAGGTCGCTCTTGAGGGTGTCAGAAGTCATGAGTCTGTGGTGTCTGCATTTCTGTCAGGATCTCAAGATCTGGAAACAACTTCCAACGCAGTAACCCTTCTGCAGTTCGTTGGGCGTGCGGACGCAGGTGCTGCGGCCAGCAAGACCTACTGCAGGCTGTCTTGGAGGCAAATCTTTCTGGTTTGCTCAGCTCTTACATTCTTACGTAGATCCCGTCTGCATTGCTTGAGGCAACAGGCAAACGAAGCCACCCAGCCTCGGCGCCTTTGGCGCCCTTGGCGCCCTTGGAGCCTTTCGCCTGCGACTTCGGTCCCCAAAAGCATAGGCACTCCACTTGGGTATCTCGGTATCTCCTACACGATTGCTTAGATTGGTTGGGAACTTGTTGAGTAGGTGTCGTTGCAGTTCCCAATTCGCTTACGATCCAGATTTCATGGAAGAAAATATTCAAAAGGACATCTGGCCGAAACAGCAGCTGCACCTGCCTCCTTCTCTGCCTGGCACCAAACTGAAAATACTTTCTTTTTGCAGGTGTCCCTCCCAAGATGCTTTTCAGTCGTTTCATTCCTTTGTTTGGGTAGATTGTGGATGCTGTACTGGTTTCACATGGTTTCACAAAAAACAGATTTCAGCTGGCCTGCTGAGCCTGCGCGGCCTGCTGTGCAGCCTGTGCTGCCTGCTGTGCTCGAATCTGTGCCTCCACGTCTGGAGTCACATACTGCGACCTGAAACGTGGCGCGACACCCGTCGAACAGCTGTGCCAGAAGCATGGTGAGTAAACATTGAAATTCCAGCTACAGGAATCACGTTTGATGAGAAATGGCATATCTGCACATTGTAACCGTCTTGCTCAGAGCAATGCTGTTGAGGTCAATTAGAACGAAAGCAAGGTAGCAAAGCGGCACAAAAGGCCATGCTTTGAGAATGTCGGTTAAATAAAGCACAAAAGCTGAAGGATCCAGACCTGTACATGCCACCCAGCTGATTGGCCAGCTGTGCCTGCGATGCCTGCACCTGCAATCCATTACACGTATGATGTGCAAAAAAAGGATTCACATAAGGGTCTCTGTTCAACTTCCAAATCATATCACTCTGAGGTCTTTCAGGTCTTGTAATCTGGGACCATCAAGCCAACGTGTTTCTGGACCGGAACAACTCTCCACACATCAGCCAACCCACCTGGGCTGGGGAGCCACCAAAGGCACCGTCATAAGCCTCAACGGTGGGTTGGCTGACGGTGTCAAGTTGTGCTATGCCTTTCAAGTAGGGATCCTTTAAATGTCTAGCCTCATCTACTGGAGAAGCCTCAACGCCCCAACTCCAACGATGCCAACACACGAGCCACCCACCTACACTTGGAGAGTTATTAAAGTGCCTATGCAAGCCTACGTAATCTGAAAGCTGTTGTGTCTTCCAACGCAACGGTGCTGCTCCACACTTGTTGCAAGTACCATTAATACTGCTAGCTCAAATTGGACTGTTGTGGGGCACCAGAATCAACTTAACATGCCCCCGTCTGTTGACCCAGTCAACTATGCATCTCCAAGCCCAACCACCCGGCAACAAAAACTCCCCTCCAGCCTGTCCAACTTGGGTGCCCATAGGCGCATAGGCTCCGCCAAATCTAAGCACATCCACGCGCAAAACAAGCCATGCTACAGTTGCACCTTGGAGATACTGTTGCTGTTCGCAAGGTCCACACCCCATGCCACCCATTGCACCCACGCCACTAGCAGCTGGCTGAGGTGCCTTGGAGCAGCAGCTGAGACCTCTTTCTGAAAGAGACCTCTCCTCGATCCTTCAGCTAGCCAGAAAGTCTTAGAAGATGCCAGACCCAAATAGCCAGATAGTCAGGTACTCAACTCTAAGGGCATGAGGTTTCTAATGCTGTTGGATTTGCCGTCTTTTAGAGGCGAGTGAAATGCAACAAAGAAAACTGCGCCGTGTCTTCAAAAGTTGCCACTGCATGATACTCTCAGCTGGGCGAAATACGACTCCGGCTGCCCCAGGTTGCATTGCCTGGCATCAGAGCCACATATCCATGGATATTGATATGGTCAAAGGAGAAACACAATTTGTGCATTTATGTGCAACACCAGGCCATGTTGAGGCCCGAAAAGATCGTTGTGGCTATTTCTCTACCCAACAAATCAGACTATTGTTGCTCCGGTCCCATTACTCCCAGGCATTAGTACCACTGCTATCTTTTTCCTTTAGAAGGATTTGTCGCAAGGGAAGTCTGATGTCACCTCAGTCGAATGTCAATCTGCCAGCTCCACCGGAACAGGTGCATACATGGACCTGGCCAGGGCTCTGATGCTGTAACATGAAGGAAACCGGTCTATGAAAGCGAGATAAAGGAAAGATAGACCGGTCAAGCCGGTCCTCTCTGTACGGCTGTACTTTCATTCCAACCCCTCGTGGCCTCATGTCTTGGGCCCATGACTTATTGATGTGTGATGTGATTGATTGATTCTCGCAGCCTAGAGAGTAGTTCGTCTCAACCCAAGCGATGCTGGATAGGAAAGATCCGACCCACCTGTAGTAGGCTCCCATTTGGTTGGAAAGACCAAGCTGTCCCATGGTCACCTTTGCGCTTGACAGAAACAGTTCAACCACCGCGTCCATTTGGCATGTGTAAAAGCTCCTGAATTGATTGAACCCGGCAACTTTAACACGCAATAGGGCCAACCATACATATGCGAGCAAAGGGGGTATGCACGGACTGCGCATGTCTTTCTCCCCAAGAGTGAGCACACACACCTGAACGCGCACTTGCAGTACCAAACCGACACTGCTGCTGTCAGCTTGTTGTGCAAGTGTCTAAGCCGCCAGCATCAGGCACAGCAGGTTGCGCAGGCTGTGATGCCTGCGCGACCTGTCAATTGCTGCAGGGGCAATGCTCTTGTCAGGTAAAAGCTTCTTTAGGAAACTACAGAAACATTGAAATAGCCATGGCCTCCAATGCTCCAACCTAATAGCGATGGTCTCCACCTAATAACGTTTAAAATCAACCAAGTTAATCATAATGTATATAATAATATGGGTGCAGCTGCCACACATTAGGATTCATCATCAAAACGGCCATGACAACCCTGGTCCGTTGGTGTGCAAGATCGTTCTAGCCCTCCGCCTGGTCACCAGCAGCGAGAACAGCCAACGACACGCCTGAATGGAGAAGTAAACTTGATCTCAGCCGCAGACATCATGTGGAATGGTCATGAATGGTCAGAAGCCCTTTGCTGTCGGCACATGTTCCACGTGCCACTGGAAAATCCGCTTTCAGATTCTCCAATCAAACATAAACATAAAGAACCCCATGTGCCTCTTGGAGGTCCATGGAACTCAAAGGAATGCTCGGATGATTTGGAGGTACGATCCGAAAAGGTAGCTACAGGGCTTAGTTCATGAAGTAAAGTAAGTAAAGGATCAAAATGAGGATTGACCTCCAAAGTCACCCATACATTCCGAGCACAAAGCCTGCAAATCCAGAGTCAGTTGCAGGAGCTGCCGAACACCACTCTTTCCAGGTCTTGAGGCGATTTCAACGTCAGTGTCAACCCTTTAAGACAGAGAGATGCTGAAGAAAAGGGTGCTATCAATATCGACCAGCTACAAGTAGGCCGAGCCCCAAACTCTCCTTTTTGGGGAACGTTCCCTCGATTGAATGTGGGACAAGCAATTGCATAGCATGTAAATAAATGGGCGCTTCCCTTCATCCAATCAAACGTTTCTGGAGCTGGTTTGTGAGTGCCTGCAACTTGCCTCCGCTCAGTCCAGTGTATGTTCGGTGTGGACCGCATCTTCATCATGTCTGAAGGCGCTGATCTTTTTCCTCAGTGGGACACATTTAGACGCAGCGAGGGGTACTTTTGCGGACCGAATCCACAAGAATTGCCAAGAACTCTGCTGCCTACTTCATGAAGTCTTATCACGGCAACCTTTCTCTCATCTCTATTTTGCTCTCAGAGTCTTGCAGGTTTTGAGAAGTGAATTACAAGAACTAGTTTTTACATGTAGAAAACCTATGTTCGTGCACAATTGGTCCGTTCCGCTCACACCGCCCACTTGTCAGGATTTCTCCGGCGATGACTCCTCAGTGGCCAAATGCTATTGTTGGCCTCCTTCCAAGGCAAGTGGCATGACGGATAAGAGGCCAATCTCCTTCTCTGCCTCATTCCTTCGTGATTCAAGATCTGCAACAAAGTCATCAAGCTCCTGGCAAAGTTAACATGTCACTCTCCAAGCAGCGATGTTTGAAACGACTCGACATGAAGGTGTGTATATATAAGTATATATATATAATTATATATATACAGAGTCAAAATATACGTACCAAACATCTAGACTCTAGACCACCAACCACCCAATAAAACGGCATGATTCTCCTGCTGCATAGCCTCAGGGAGCTTGTGCTCAGCAAGAATTGTTTGCAGCATGTCTTCAATTGGAGCTGCATCCACTGCATCCGCCGCATCCCCCTCATGCCATTCAGCCTGAATGATGGACACCAGTCCTGTTCACTTCAACTCAGAATGAAGGCCCTCGCATGTAAAGCTCAACCTTCCCCAAACTGCTGGTTTCTCAGCTTCAGGCAATTGCAGGCGAAGAATGGTTGGACTGGAATGTCAATCCTGTCCATTCTGAACAATGCTGCAAAAGCTCAATCCTGTGGCGCTACAAAGGGGTGGAAGTCCTTGCCTGTGTCCATGGCATCCATGGCATCCATGGTCTCTGTGTCTCTGAAGGCACCGGTGGTATCTCTGAAGAAGGAGACGCCCGTCTCTCCCATGGCAGTGGAGGCATCGGCTGCGTCAGGCCTCAGGCCGTGTAGAGGTGAGGTAGTTAGGTAGGTAGCTAGTAGAAGCTAGGTAGCAAGTAGCAAGTAGCAGCCAGCTGGGACTCAGGAAAGGCAGATGTTTTAGGGAAAATAAATATTCTATCTGACCAAAAGCCTTTGATGCTCCACTCGCCACCTGACAAAGTCGTCCATTGGTCTATAAGCTCAAAAGCAATGACAAATTGCTGTTCGGCACTCTTTACGACTTGCAGATCTTGGTGTGATTTTGTGATTGAAGGTCGAGAGCAATTGGCAAGTGCCAGAACCACTCCACACTGAGCTGCAATCAAGGAGAAGCTTCAAAGACATACTAAAAAGCTTCATTGTTGCTACGGGTGAAACGATTCCCAATAAAGCTTCTAGTTACTAAAAAGCTGCTGCGCACAAACGAGGCGATGTCAGTGCTCTTCCGGTGTCAGAAAGATCCGACGCGCGTCCGAACGATGCCCAGGTGCACATCATCCCAGAACTTCAGAGACATCACATGTGCAGATAGAGCTTGAGCAGCCACCTCTGCCTGAATGCACAAAGCCTTGCATGTGTCACAGTATTAGACGGTATAGGTATAAGTGTGTCATTTCAATGGAGTGTACGACCTTGTAAAGCATCTGAAGAAGCAACTGGACCACCTTAATGCCTGGTTGAGTCTCAATGCGTGCACGTCCAAATGCAAAAGGCTGTTGACCCACCAACCTTTTGATTTCAACCCAATTGCGACACAGGATATATAGAGAGACTTCGTGCGAACCCGGGTTCAAACAACCAGTGATGTGCCTGCTCTTCTACCTCCCGCATCTCATAGCCAAATTTGACTTCGTCCTTATTGGCGGCAAGGATGACGGCATTACATGTTCCGGCTATGCTTCACTGCACGAGTAACATCACAGAATCATTGGAGCACGTGGAGATAGATACATTGAGCACGTGACTGACTTTACTTCGCAAGGACATCAAGTGACATCTAGGATCGTCCGATGGGTTTCCTACGATGTGTTATTTCTTGCGCCCCAGTCCACTCCCTGGTTCCTCCAGGAGCCGCAACTCATGAAGAAGCTGCAGGTGGTGCCCCTCAGGTACCTGCCACGGGGCAGGGCTACCACCTCGGTCTTGCCAAAACAGCAAACATCCGGTTTCGACAGGAGTGTTGGGTGTTTTACTTTATCCTCTTTATTGATCTTTATTGAGGGCTGTTCTTTATGGACTTGGGAAATCTTGGCAACTTCTGCCAAGGCCACTCGCTTGAGACTCTGCAAGGACATCCTCTGCGGCTGCATGAACTGCTTGTAGCTGAGCGTCCTGGATTTGGAGCGTCTTGCTCGCGACTGTAAGGCTCACACGTTCCAACTTTTGCTTGATGGTTCTGCTAGTGTGTTCGTCTTCACCTACCACCAGAATCGAGTTGCTATTTGTCATCAACAACAGCACCATCAGAATGATTAGCAGCAGAAGCAGCAGCACCAGCAGCAGCAGCACCAGCAGCAGCAGCAGCAGCAGCAGCTGCTGCTCTCAATCGTTCATCCTCTTCGTCGTCATCATACAATTCATACACATATTCTCAAGATCTTACAGCAATATCATATTATTTGTATTATCATGGCCTCCTTGTCCATCTATGTCCCTCCCATCTATTTCAGTTGCCCCGTCTTCTCATGTCGCTAAAATCGCGGAGCATCAACTTGAACCAAAATTTCAACAACGTGTTCTGACATGGTCCATGTCATCATGGCAACAAAAGCAACAACTTTGGATCGTGCGCAGGGTCAGAAACAGCAATGCGTTCCTTGCAATCTGATTGCGGTGCATGTACGGAATGACTTCGAGGCGCCCATGAGGTTTTGTAGGGTTTTCAGGCAACGCAGGGTGTGTAAACTGTAGCCTGGTTGGGTTTCTGATAATGCAGAAATGGACTGGTACATCCCTCAACCTGACTGAGCGGATAAATAAAAAATAGAAATAACAAACTGCTTTGCTACAACGAGGAGTAGACTTTTGAGGCTTTGTAGCACCAGCTGCTCAAGTTATCCAAGTTATCCAAGACTCTGTAAATGTAGTCCGACACAGTCTCATTGCACATGGAGTGGCCACCTTTTGGAATCAAAACACCAAGCGCCGAGGAAAATCCGCGCAAGAGTACCGCTGGATGAGTCATCTGCTTCAGAAGCTTTAGCTTGTGGCTGTTCATTTTTGGAATTCCCGAGAGCGTCTGCGAAGGGTTCTTCGTAAAAAAACATCTGCAGAACTACGTCTCATCTGCATCTTCACATCTTCACCTCTGCACATCCACATTCTCACCTATATCTCTGCTCATCTTCACATCTACATTCGCAACTGCACATCTACATCTCTGCTCATCTTCATCTTCACACATCTACATCTCTGCTCATGTTCACATCTGCACATCTACATCTCTGCTCATCTTCACATCCTCACATCTACATGTCTGCTCATCTTCACATCCTCACATCTACATCTCACATCTTTACCTCTCATCTACATCTCACAGCTTCACCTCTCGCTCTTCTTAACTTTCTTTCTCAAGGCCGGGGGCAATGCCGCCGGACCACCACGAAACGCAACCCTCTGCGGAGATCGTGCGCGTCGGATGCGCGAAATGCAGGCAAGAGTGCGATTTGGTCCGGTCCGGCGCAACCCTCTGCGGAGATCGCGCGTGTCGAGTGCGCGAAACGCAGGCGAGAGTGCGATTTGTGTCTGTCCGGCGCAACCCTCTGCGGAGATCGCGCGCGTCGACTGCGGGGATCGCGCGTGTCGAGTGCGCGAAATGCAGGCGAGAGTGCGATTTGACCCGGTCCGGGGCAACCCTCGGCGGAGATCGCGCGCGTTGAGGGCGCGAAATGCAGGCGAGAGTGCGTTTTGACCCGGCGCAACCCTCTGCGGAGATCGCGCGTGTCGACTTTGTAGTGCAACTGTAGTGCGCGAAGCAATCTGTGTAGCTGGAAGCTGAGAACTGGCGACTTTGTAGTACAACTTGAGTACGCGGAGTATCTGGGGAGCTGGAAGATGAGAACTGGAGACTTTCTATAACGCCTTTGGTACGCGGAGTATTTGGGGAGCTGGAAGATGAGAACTGGCGACTTTCTAGTACGACTTTATTACGCGGAGTATCTGGGGAGCTGGAAGATGAGAACTGGCGACTTTCTGGTACAACTGAGAACTGGCGACTTTGTAGTAACTTTAGTACGCGGAGCAATCTGTGGAGCTGGAAGCTGAGAAGTGGCGACTTTGTAGTACAACTTGAGTACGCGGAGTATCTGGGGAGCTGGAAGATGAGAACTGGCGACATTCTAGTACAACTTTAGTGCGCGGACGGAGTATCTGTGGAGCTGGAAGCTGAGAACTGGCGAAGTTGTAGTATAACTTTAGTACGCGGAGTATCTGGAGAGCTGGAAGATGAGAACTGGCGACTTTGTCGTACAACTTTAGTGCCCGGAGCAAGCTGTGGAGCTGGAAGCTGAGAACTGGCGACTTTGTAGTACAACTTTAGTACGCGGACGAGTCATCTCTCGCGGCTGAGTCATCTCTCGCGGCTGCTCTGGCACCCCTGCAGCTGAGTCACGTCTCCCGACCACCCGGCTCTCTTGAGAGGTTGACAAATTTTAGCTATTTTGCTTACTCATAAGTGGCTGCCACAAAAGAGTCATCGTGACGTTAGTATGTGTGTACTTCACCTTCATGGCAAACGATGTTCGCTTGGAATACACGAGTCGCTTGTCATGATCGTGACGTCGTTTACTCTCAGGTCGCCCTGTTCGTGGAAACTTCAGTGTGAAATGTACATTCTTTAGTTCTATTTGAACCTCTTCAGCGTTGTACTTGCACAACTAAGGTTGACGTTGCACTGCCGTTGCATCGACGCATCTACGTCTACACCCCCTCACCTCTCTACATTTACATCTTCACACGCTCACATCCGCAGATCCACCTCTCCACCTCACTACACCCACACATCTGCACATCTATATCACATCTGTACATCCACACTGTCGCTCCTTCACATCTGTCCTGTCTTTCTTTCTTTCTACATATCTTTTCTCTCGTCTCTGCGCATATAGATCTTCGCACGCTCACATCCACAGATCTACCTCTCCACCCATACATCTAAGAATCTACAGATCTATATCGCACCTGCACATCACACTGTCACTCCTTCACATCTACCCTCTCTTTCTCTCTTTCTATACATCTTTTCGACTCTCGGGCCAACCGTCGTCTAGTTGGTGTGTCTTTGATGGCTTTTGATGTGTTTTGAAGATTGATAAAGAGTTGTATCGTGTGTGTGTGTATGTGTGATTCTCCGTGCGGCTTCGGATGTAAGCAAACGCGATGCAGCTTATGCATACCAGGGGAGACTGCATTATTGACATCATGAATCATGGGTGTGTTCGTCCGTGTGTCCTGCCCGACCAAGACAGACAGACTGACAGGCCGAGACAGACACACTGACACAGACCGAGACAGACAGACGCACACACTCCGCGCGGGCGGCTTCGAGAGCGAAGCGCTGTAAATATTAATCCACGGATGGCACCAAAATATCATCAACGGCGCGATCAAAACCTGGTTTAGAATGTCCAAATAAAACCTGCCGACGGGGACCTAGCTCCAAGAAAAGTCAGAATACCCAACACCTGAACGCAATTGCCCCATCACCGCAGCTGCAGTTCTTTGCTGTGACCTGCCTGAGTGAATCATGGCATGACTCATTGGCTTTCAAATGAGATACAAGCTCGCCGATTCAAGCAGATTCAACTTCATTGAGCAATGTCCCATGTAGCTGAATGCCACAATCTCAAGCGAAATTGCCAACCACCCAAGCAACGGTACGCACCATGCTAAGTACTTCAAAGTGCTCCATACCGTCAACATCGCTGAGAAATACAGCAAGACATTTGGCAGCGCCCTCCCGAGTGACCCTCAAAGTTTCAGGAAACTCAACAAGTGCTCTCAATACCGCAGAAAGTCGTGATAAGTGTGCGAAAGACCACGGCCGTCTATGAGCCGTGGGACCAACTAAGCACCGGCAATGACTAGACTCAGTGGAACAAACCCGAGTCCCCACCAAACATATGCAGAGAACATGGAATTCTATATCTAAATGGAAGAGCTGGGAGGCATGTGCAAGAACTGAGCGTACCTGCGTGAAAGAGTTCATGGCCCTTCATGGCCATCCAACATGTACAGTTTGGGAGTAGCTCAATAAGTTCCAAACCCTCTCAAAGTCCCTTCAGCTCAGCTCCTTCAGTTCTCTCTCCTCATCATGAGCACTGCTGAGGACGAAGTCATTGCTCGCCTCTTTCAGCGCTTGAGATGCGTCCTGGCCGTTCTGAGCCGACGCCCGACCCCAGCAGCCTGGCGGGAGCCTGGCGGGAGCCTGGCGGGAGCCTGGTGCCACTAAGACCCATTAGAATTCAACCGTTTAGAATGCCCATTAGAAGCATTCTTCAGTTTCCATATGGTCATTCTTATTGCATGCACAGTAGAGTGTTCTTCAAAGCAAACAATGCTGGTGGTTGCCTGGTCTAACAGGGTCTAACCTTTGACGCAATCCTTGACGGAGCGCAGTAGCCGCTTTACGATCGCATCCATGCTGTCATAAAAATGAGCAGGTACATCAAAGGGGCTGCCGGAGCCAGAGCCTCAAACATGTTTGTTTATGTGTGTTTGTGTGGGAACTGGCTAGTTGAGGAAGATCATTGGCTCGGGCGGAAACATTTACAAAGACAAATCAGCCTGGTGCAGAAAGCCTTCAATCCTATAGACAACATGCTAACCTCCTTCAAGCATCTTCAAGCCCCAAACATCAGCTCCTGCTCATGAAGTCACTTAAGTCACTGGTAGCATCTGAAGTTAGTCGACTGTTTCTTAGTAGTAACAGGCTGGTGCCTTACTAGTAATAACAAGAAGCTGCTAGGGGCTCCTGGCCTTACTAGTAGTAACAAGAAGCTACTAGGGGCTCCTGGCCTTGCTAGTAGTAACAAGAAGCTACTAGGGGCTCCTGGCCTTACTAGTAGTAACAAGAAGCTATTAGTGTTTTCGTCAACGGATCTTGCTTTTCGTCAACAGAAGCCATCAAAGCTCCAGGGACCCATGTAGCCGGAGTAGGCGAAAACTCCAGCGCCCCAAAGTGCCCAACAGTCAGCGGTGGAACACCTAGGGCGCAAAACCACCGTAGGGCACCCTGTTAAAGTCTTAGCGTCCTCTTGTCATTACTAGTAAGGCCAGGAGCACCCCTAGTAGTGTCCTTGCTCCTAGTAGTAATGCCCTTTGTTACTAGTTACTAGTAGCTGGCAAAGCAGTCTTGTCCATCATACTGTCACACTCAGTGGAAAGCCCCTTTGGCGTTGCTACGGTCCGCTGCAGCTCAACACGTCAACAAGCCAAAGAGATGCACAGGCCGCTCTGGGGGATCGTGAAGTGCCACTCATCTGTGGAACGATCAGAGTCCTGGAACCTTTCTTTACCAATCAAGTGCTCAGGACGGGTGTTGCTCATCAAGTTGAGTATCATGTAAGAGGAGCAACAGCTGTGTCCTTTCCAGTTTGACAACAATTTAGAATAATAATGAATCATAATGATAGAAAATTAATTTGAACTTTGAGTCAAGGCACTGATCATCAAACTGCAGCAAGTATCGAGTAATTTCTTCCATTGGATGTGGTTTGAGGATGAAGTGATCATCCTTCAAGTGTTCGATACACATCGTCTCCAAACCAGCACGAATCCTTGGCAGAATACCAAACGGCATGAAAGGTATGGGTTCATCCACTGGTATTCAATACTGTTCGATGGAGTGAAGTTTCTGCCTACAGCATGACCAGTGAACCTTCGGATTTCTGCAGTCCCGAGACATCTTGTCCACCCATAGGCTATGCTCGGTCAGAGCCTTCTGCATCGGCAAGGATGTGAAGGGCTAGATGAGTTGGAATGCTTCAGTGGAAAGTTGGAAGTCGAACACCTGCTCTGCAAAGGTGTGTGCTGCGTGTGTGCTGTGTTGTGTGTGTATGTGTGTCGAAGTTGATGTCCAATCGTTAGCTCTATTCGTCTGCATTTCCGGCGTGTTTCGGAGAAATACTGTGGCGATTCACATGGCAGCAACCCCAACCATGTTGCTTGATCCAACTATATACCACGAGAAGCACAATCTGTAAATAGAACAAATGTCACACGTGTGCTCAATCAGGCTAGTGTTTTGACAACAAATGAAAGCAAAATCTATCAAAATCTACCCTCGCTGCTGTCTCAATACATTGGCACATTCAAATGCTCGCCTAGGACTGCCTTCATCACTGCCGAGGAAAGACCTAAATAAACACCAGCCATCTGCAGCACCGCGCCGCTTGAAACATGTTCACAAACTCTGAGGCTTGCACGGAGTTGTGCCGAAAACAACACTTCCTACAAAACCCTGAGCCAAACCAGGGCGCAAAGCAATCTGAAGCTTGCTTCTGAAAGTCTGGCTCGGCACTCGACACAGAACATGTTCCTGAACATGTTGAACCAAGAAAAAACATCTGAGCTCGTGTTTCAAGTTTCTTCAAGTCAAGCTTTTTCTTGATTCGAGGATGCTCTTTTGCGACTGAGAGAAGCCGGCCGGTGAGCCTTATGTTACAGCGGGGCTTTGGGACACAGAGGGGAATCCGCCGCTTGGGCATTCCGACTGGTTTGGCATGCACTTTGGCAACACAGTATTTCACTTAAGAGCATAAGCAATGCTCTTCTTTGCATCAGGAATTCTTCTTCCTTTTCGGAGAGCGGCTTCGTTTGGCCTTTCTGGCCTTGGGTTTAGGCTCTGGCTCGGCCGATTCACTAGGGGCGACCTCAGGCTTCTTCTTGCCCTTTTTCTTGCCGTCTTTCCCCTTTCCAGTCTTTGCCTCCTTGGTCTTGCCATCTTTTCCCTTTTTGGGCTTTTTCACGAGCTCTGGTGGTACTGAAGGATCCTTCATGGTCCAGTGTGATGGTGCAGCAGATGGTGCCACCGACGTACCAGGTTGGAACGGTGTCGGGGAGGGTGCAGCATAATGCGACGGCGAGCCTGCTGGGGAGCGACGCGGGTGCAGACTTAATCGTTTCGCCTCAGGGTGCGAGAGCTCAAAAAATTGAGGATTTGGTCGTGTCAAAGCTCTGGCACCCACAAAAGCACATAAGCTATAGCTATAGTAATCTATGTAAAGTTGTAAAGCCGCGTGAGCTACACCAGCGACTCCGGTCCCCATATTCATCAACCATAAAACAAAGAAGTCGTGACCTTCATTAGATAGGTTTGACCTACGACCAAGGCGTGAGAGAGATCTTTTTGTTATATAGATACACGAACAGCTCTGCTAGAGCAGCTCTGCCATGTCAGCTCCGCCTTCCTCTCCTTCTTCAGCTTCTTCCGACGTTTTCTCTCTGCCTCACTGTCAATTGAGCACGGGCTCGCATCAATTAGCCGCTTGCGCCGTCTCTTAATCTTTACTCCAGGCTCAGAGATCGGAGAGACACTTCGCATGATCTCCCGCATCTGGCTCGGTCCGACCAGCATTTCTCGTGTTGTCATGTGGGTTCGGAAAGTTCGTTCTGATGGTGCTACACTCGCAGCCGTGACCGCAATGCTCTTGCCAGCAATGGAGCGTCCGGCGATGCTGCGACCAGCAATGCTCATGCCTGCAATGCTTCTTCCGGCCACACTCCTGCCTCCACCGCTCAGCTTTCCAATGCTCTTTGCATAGTTGGTCCTTGCACTTGCAAAGGTTGCAGCATACGCTTCAGCTTGTGCACGTGCCAGTGCTTCCGTATGCTTTGCCAAAGCTGCTGCGGTGAGGCTGCCACCGTCCGCCACTGCAGGTTTGGGCTTCGCAGGTGCATCACCATCGACCGAGGAGTCCTTACAGTAGATTTCAACAATGTGATTCTCAGTGTTTATCCAGGATTCCAGTGTTCACATACACGAATCATAAAGAATTGGCGCAGGGTCAGGCTGTCCCTCTCACCCAACATTCAGCAACATTCGAGAACAGGGCTCTCTCCTAGGTGGGAAGAAAAATGTAGAAAAGAAACATGAAGCCCTGAAACATGAAGTCCAGGAGAGGCTCAGGTCGTTCTCCTTGAGAGGGAGCCATAGATTCGCCTCGATCCCCTCCAGGTACAGTCTTACCAGGTCCCGTGGTCAAACTACGGACACTTGGGAGTGACTTGGCATCTTCTTCAACTGCAGGCTGTGAGTCCGCAGGTGCCTGCTCCTCAGTGTGTTTGGTAAGGGCTTCTTCCGTGAGTTCACCTTGGGCTGCTTGAGCTTCCTTGGGTGCCTCGCCCACCTCAGAATCCTCAGTCGACCCAAACATGTTCCTTCAAACAGTTCTGCTGAGAGCACCAAGAAAGCTTCCTAGCTTTGAGAGTATTGTGCTGCTGATGCACCAAACAACTACATGTACTTGCAAAGGTGATGGATTCATGATTTGCTCTAATCTTCAGAATGAAGTTTGGAAGTGGGACGCAAAATCACTGAGGCAGGGTCTGCATCCATGGTTTGATTCGAGTTTTGGAGACAGTCTGGAACACAGCTATGTCCAGGCTGGACATCTAGAACATCTCCAACGTTCCAAACCCCGCCATGATACGCTAGAATTTGAGAGCCCTATGGCCCTACGTCTAGAAGGGAGCTCCGCGCAAGCGAGCGTCAGGCTCTTCGGGCTCATCACCTCCAGGCACTGTCTTTCCAGGCCCTGTGGTCAAACTACAGCGACTCTGGACTGACTCCTGGTCATCTGCCGCCTGCGAGTTTGCAGGTGCCTCTTCGGTGCTCTTGGCCGCTTCCTCAGTGACACCCTCGGCTGCTTCGGCCTCTTTGGGAGCATCAGCATCCATTTCAGACTCCTCGGCGATTGACTATGAGGAAAGGATAGAAAAATGAGGGAGAGAATCCAAAAAACATATATATATATATAATCAAACGTGCTTCTTTTGAAGGTAGACTGGAATGAACCTGTATACACTCTGTAGCCTGTATAGCCTAGAGTGTTTGAACCTATCATTCCTTTGAGGTAGGATTTGGTTTGTCAACAAGGAACACATTTAAAAATTGTGTAAAAGAAAGGATAAGTCAAATGGTAGGGCATGTTTAATGGAAAAACACTATTTAAAAGTGAAAAATATTCTATCCTCTACCTTATTGTTGTTCCTTTCTTTTTTCCCCGTTTTCTGTCAACCCTCGCCTCTGCAGCTTCGCTGGGGCGGGCATCTGCCGGCTCCGTATCTGCAGTGTCAGCGGCCTCGGATGTCAGATCGCTACGGAATTCTGTATATTATGTAATTATATATATATTGTGTATATAATATATAAGTATTGTGTGTGTGAATAGTAAAGACATGCTCTATTATATAATGTCTATGTCTTTACCCTTTCCAATGTCAACAGACTTGATGCAACTTCAGTCGGAAAATGCCCACACAAACCACCTCGTACATTCACTTGGGTTGATACAACATGGCTTGGACGCATTGACTCACCGTCTTGTGTTGAACAGCACTGAACACTGGTTGCCAACATTACAAACACTTGATATAAAACTCCCAGCAAAGCTGCCACATCTTGCTCTGCTGCTCCGTCTGCCTCCTTCCCTGTGTCGGGCTCCTTCTGCAACTCCTCCACGTTTCCAGGTTCTTTGTCGACCTCTTCGGCAGCTTTTTCCGGCTCGGCCAAAGTCTCGTCCTCTCGGTTCTCTTGGTCCTCGCGGCTCTCTTCCTCCGCTTCAGCCTCACTGGCACCCATGGCCTTTTGCAAGGCTCGCTGGGTCTCAGCATCATCTGCTTCATCTGCTTCATCTTCATCATCTTCAGGCACCTCTGTAGCGGGGTGCATGGATGATTCTGCGTCTCTGTAAGTTGCACTTCCATCAAAGTTTGCACTATCAGCTGGATCAGGTTGAACCTGTCTGTGTACCTTGCGCGTCTCCTCAGCCAGCTCATCTTCAAGCTCCCTTTCCAAACGCTCCCGCTCTTCTCGCTCTTTCCGTTGAGCCTCGGTTTCTTCGAGATCCTCGGACTCTTGCTCTTTCACCCTTGTCTTGCCCTTCTTCCTCTTGGCAACCTCTTCATCTGCATCCTCTTCACCCGCGTGCTTTCGCCTCTTGTCCTTCTTCTTCTTCTTGCGCTTTGAAGGCTCAGCATCAGAGCCTTCAACCCTCTTCTTTTTGCGTTTCAGTTGCAGATCGGGCTCCTCTGCCTCCTCCATCTTCACTGCAGGCAATGGCTTCACGTTGCGGTGCACTGCAGCCCTGCCAGCTGAGAAGACCTTGTGTGTCCGAAGAGGAAAGGCCGCAGGCTCCTGCCCAGGCATTGGTGGCACCTTGGTGCCCATGAAAATGCTCAGGAGCCGGGCGGACACGACCAGCTGCTTGGTATTTCTCCGGCTATTTAAAGGCATGAGAATTTGCCATCCATGAGGAAGAATCCGCAATTGACTCTTCTTCAGTGGCTCCCATGCTGTTGCACCCTTCTCTGCAGCATGAGGACCGGGGCGGACGGCCGTGCCATTCCGGGATTCATCACGGATACAGAGTGGGCCATCCTTTGGCAGGTGGATCTCCGCGTGGTACACAGACACACCATCGAAGTCCAGCACCACATCGTTGGCCACACCACGGCCGATTCGCAAAACGCCACCAGGACGCAGCGTGAAGGTCTGGGGCGAGCCTGTACTATCTCTGCAAATTGTAACGTCACATTTCTCCGCCATCACGGCGGTTGCTACCTTGATCCTAAAATGGCAAAGGTCACAGAAGCAAACATTGACCAGTCTGGTGTGCTCCATCAACACATATCTGTCCTTCCTTCCAGACTCGGCGGGCTTACAAAAGTTGAGTGACGACAACATCCTCTCTGTGCAAAAATATCTTGGAACAAGCCCTTTCTGCGCTCACATCGGTCGGATGGGCTGCAGCTTCGCCTGGGCGGTGAAAGCTGGTGGGCCAAGTCAGACTAGTGCCCCGCGGTGCCCTGCGGTGCCCCGGGGATTTCATTCAAAAGGCACAGGAGAATTTAGTATCAAAACCAGGTACAAGCACCAAATCAAGCATAGACAGACTGAAGAATGACTTGGCATGACTTGGCAAAAAGCTGCAACTCGTCCAGCAAGCACTAAACGTCGGAAAGAAGCAAATGATGACAATGACGATGACGATGACGATGACGATGACGATGATGATGACGATGATGATGATGATGACGATGACGGCGATGATGGCGATGATGGCGATGATGGCGATGATGATGATGATCATGATGATGATGATGATGATGATGATGATGATGATGATGCTGGTGGTGGTGGTGATGATGATGATGAGGATGATGATGAGGAGGAGGAGGATGATGAGGAGGATGAGGAGGATGAGGATGAGGATGAGAATGAGGATGAGAATGAGGATAAGGATGAGGATGAGGATGATGAGGATGATGAGGATGATGAGGATGATGAGGATGATGATGATGAGGATGGTGATGATGATGATGAGGAGGATGATGAGGAGGATGATGATGATGATAATGATGATGATGATGATGAGGAGGAGGAGGAGGATGAGGATGAGGATGAGGATGATGAGGATGATGATGAGGATGATGAGGATGATGAGGATGATGATGATGATGATGATGATGATGATGATGATGCTGGTGGTGGTGGTGGTCTTGGTGATGATGACAAAATGATAAAGGGGTGCACGGGACACAGAGGGCCAAAGAGGCTTTGATCACATCGAACCTACCAAATGCTGATGGTCTGCAAGGACAAAGGTGCCGCAGGACTGTAGGCGGTGTCAGCATCTCAGTTACTTGCAAGCAAAACACTTCTCAGGAACAGAATCACATTCAGCATATAAACAAAGGCTCTAGCACAGGGACCAAGGTAAGCGTTGTGATGATGTCGGATGCTTCAAGCAAAGATACATGCAATAGCAAATTCGTCTTGAGCATACCATACCAAGCAACTGCGTAAAATGCCGTCTTGAAACACACTTACCATCAAGGCTCGAAAGCTCTGGAACACGGACCAAGGTAGGTATTGTCATCATCTCAAGTGCTACAATCAGCATACGCACATGAAGCAGCTATAGTGCCGATTGAAGCAAACGCAATGCACCTGACTCAGTCCCGTCTTGAAACACACTTACCATCAAGGCTCGAAAGCTCTGGAACACGGACCAAGGTAGGTTTTGTCATCATTTCAGGTGCTACAATCAAGCATACGCACATGAAGCAGCTATATTGCCAATCGAAGCAAACGCAATGCACCTGACTCAGTCCCGTCTTGAAACATAATTACCATCAAGGCTCGAAAGCTCTGGAACACGGACCAAGGTAGGGTTTGTCATCATCTCAGGTGGCTCAATCAAGCATACGCACATGAACCAGCTATATTGCCAATTGAAGCCAATGCAATGCAACTGACTCAGTCCCGTCTTGAAACACACTTACCATCAAGGCTCGAAAGCTCTGGAACACGGACCAAGGTAGGTTTTGTCATCATCTCAGGTGCTAGAATCAAGCATACGCACAGGAAGCAGCTATAGTGCCGATTGAAGCAAACGCAATGCAACTGACTCAGTCCCGTCTTGAAACACACTTACCATCAAGGCTCGAAAGCTCTGGAACACGGACCAAGGTAGGTTTTGTCATCATTTCAGGTGCTACAATCAAGCATACGCACATGAAGCAGCTATATTGCCAATTGAAGCAAACGCAATGCACCTGACTCAGTCCCGTCTTGAAACATAATTACCATCAAGGCTCGAAAGCTCTGGAACACGGACCAAGGTAGGTTTTGTCATCATCTCAGGTGCTACAATCAAGCATACGCACAGGAAGCAGCTATAGTGCCGATTGAAGCAAACGGAATGCAACTGACTCAGTCCCGCCTTGAAACACACTTACCATCAAGGCTCGAAAGCTCTGGAACACGGACCAAGGTAGGTTTTGTCATCATCTCAGTTGCTACAATCAAGCATACACACATGAAGCAGCTATATTGCCAATTGAAGCAAATGCAATGGAACTGACTCAGTCCCGTCTTGAAACATACTTACCATCAAGGCTCGAAAGCTCTGGAACACGGACCAAGGTAGGTTTTGTCATCATCTCAGTTGCTACAATCAAGCATATGCACATGAAGCAGCTATAGCGCCAATTGAAGCAAACGGAATGCAACTGACTCAGTCCCGCCTTGAAACATACTTACCATCAAGGCTCGAAAGCTCTGGAACACGGACCAAGGTAGGTTTTGTCATCATCTCAGGTGCTACAATCAAGCATACGCACAGGAAGCAGCTATAGTGCCGATTGAAGCAAATGCAATGCAACTGACTCAGTCCCGTCTTGAAACACACTTACCATCAAGGCTCGAAAGCTCTGGAACACGGACCAAGGTAGGTTTTGTCATCATCTCAGTTGCTACAATCAAGCATACACACATGAAGCAGCTATAGTGCAGATTGAAGCAAATGCAATGGAACTGACTCAGTCCCGTCTTGAAACATACTTACCATCAAGGCTCGAAAGCTCTGGAACACGGACCAAGGTAGGTTTTGTCATCATTTCAGGTGCTACAATCAAGCATACGCACATGAACCAGCTATATTGCCAATTGAAGCCAATGCAATGCAACTGACTCAGTCCCGTCTTGAAACATACTTACCATCAAGGCTCGAAAGCTCTGGAACACGGACCAAGGTAGGTTTTGTCATCATCTCAGTTGCTAC